ATATCATACAATTATGTATCTAAGTATAGAAACACAATGGGTGAAATACACCCTTTGTAGCTCAAGCCCCAAAAGCTGAGGTTTTACGAGAACTTCTTAGAATTTGTTGGTTCAGAATAGAATAAAATCCCTCTCCTTTAAACTAACAAATTTTAAAAGGGTGCAAGATATGAAATGCCAGCTTAACTCAATAGATCTCCTATCCCATAAAGCAGAACAAAGAGTCCTGTCTCTCTGTACTGTGTCTTGTATAGCTTCAACAATGTTACAGATTGAACAAGGATCTAACATAACATTTTATAGGTTCTATATGCATGTCAGTCTCTATGCTCAGATGGACTGAGCAGATATGAGGCAGACAAGATATCTCATTTCTGTATTGTTCAACTTACACACTTTGATGGAAAATAACATTAGAGCATCTTCAGAAAAACTGCAAAACTCCTAGCTGTGATATTAATTATAGAACAGTGGTAGGGAAACTGTAACTCTCTATATGCATCCTGACTCTAACTTTCAGCGTCCCTCACCATAGGCAGTCATAGGGTGATCGGAGTCAAAGGCCAACAATGTTTGGAAGGAGAAATACTCCCCAGCATTACTATTTACATGTTTAGTTCGCCTATGAATTACCCTTGTCTTTGCACTTCATAAATGGTTCTGAATCCTTTCTCCTGCTCCCCTTTACTTTATGGAGCATAAATCCAGAACAATTTGCTGTAATACATTATGCAATTCACTAAGAAGCATAATGGAGTACAACAACAGGAAGAGGATCAAAAGCATAGAGCAATCCTCCTGGATTTCTACTTCATATAGACATGTTCCACAACATTTCTCTTTAGATCCATTAAACCAATGGAAAATTCTTGTTTCAATGAATTAATATTATACAAAGATAAAGATAACCAAGATTGCCTTTTGTGAGCTTCCCTTTAACTGCTCTTATAGTACTTCATGCTTTTTGACTTTATGGGGTTTGTGGACAAAAGTTCCCAGTGGAACACATCCATTACACTATGACGTCTTCTCTGTCAGAATTGCCAGTGATGCTGCCATATTCAATCTGTGTCAATTTCAAATATACAAAGCAGATCAAATGGGAAAGTTGTATCGTGGTTTACATGGCACTTTTGAACTGTTCAGGCACTCACCATTTGGGAAACACATTCAAAATGCACCATGAATAGTGATTTTAATGCTGTGTAAATAAATGGACTTTCTTTCTCATTTCAATCTCTCCTGATCTCAAGGGTCCCTTTACAGTGTTTGTCTTTATAAGCCAGGTGAGCTCTTTAGTAGCAGAAATGCACGTATGGTTGCTATCTGATGTTTTAGCCCACTTGCACACAAAGCCTTTCAAAACAATAAAATCTCAGTTTTTACCTCTGTTTCTTAGGAAATAAAAATATGAACTTGGCTTTTTTGTGTAAACCTTTTCTTTTGTGTGTGTAGGGTAGTTGAGGTGGGGGTAGAGGATGAGAAATGTTGAAAGCATTAGTTAAATTCCTCATTTAAATATGAAGTTTCTTGATGGAAGTCACTATCAGACACATAAATAATGAGCAGTTTACCAATAGCTGGGACGACCTAAATGGGACAGAACACATTTTGATAACTGCTGAGGTTCTGATGTTTTACCCAATCTAGAGATTTGTAATCTGTGGTGACGAGACTCATGAGGTCCAGGAACTAGGACTTTCTGTTCGCCAGAGATGAAAATGCAAAGTTTTAAAAAGTTATTTTTGTCTTCAAAATGACCACGGCTGGCTGGGGTTTGGGGGAAGCTGACCAAATTAACATTTTTTCTAAGATCTGTGGTTGTGACATCAATCATCCATTGCAGATTTTGCTTCCCCCTGAGTTTAATTCTCAGTGTAACAGGTTGAGGGTCATGTTTCTCCATAGTGCTGAAAAAGGAAATGAAGAAGCATACACACCTCACATGAAAGTCACTTTAGCCTCCTGCCTTTTTGGTAATCTCTTTGGGTACATGGCTATGGGGACTGTCAACAATGAGCACTTCAGAATAATATTGGTGGATTATGTTATAGTGTAGTAACACTATGTTAAAACTTGGCTGCTCAAATCACAGAGGCAACTTCAAAGCTCTCTTCCCACCATATGGAATTAGGAAAGAAAGAAGTGCGTGAATGGAAAGAGAAATACAAGTGTGCATGCATTTAATTAAACATTGTACACACATGTTACACATTTTAGAAAAAGTGTTTGAAAATAATTCTGGTCCAATTTGGAGCTCCTCTGCTCTCCTGAGTAACTTTTTCCAGCATTTGCATGACTTCTACTACAAAGGCGAGATCCATTCAGTCAAGTAACATGTGTGAAAGATCTATTTCCTTAGGAAGAACTTAGAAAAAGTTAGGGGAAATTAAATTTTAGCAGTGATTTTAGCAGAGGAAATGTCTCCCAGCTAGATGACTGCTTTTTCATATACAACTGGTCATGTGTATATAGGTGGTTGGATCTATTTTGAAGATGGAGGACTTCCACAAAAATATTTGGGACTTGCAAGTGTTTAGTTTGTGCAAACAATTGTCTCTTTACTTTCAGAAGGGCAATCTTATATCACTGACCACTTTGGCATGCCTAGTGGACCCCAAGGAGTCACTGTACAAGTTCATGCTGTAAATTAGAACAAATGTGCAAAAAAAGAGACACAAAAACCTGAAAACAAAAACAAAAAAAAAAACACCAGGGGATGAAATCCTCTATTTTGCCCAGTAGATGTTGAAAAGACAGGGGACTGGAAAAATAGGAGGGCAAAGTGACCCAATCTAAATGCAGCAAGCATATCACCTAAGTCTGGGGTATGTTAGTTTCTGTCCATACAGATCTTCTCTGGTGTCTTTAAAAATGCAGTGCGAACAGTGCCAGCTCCAGGACTTGGTGCCTACATTGATTTTCAGATATTTTTGGGTTGTTACCTTTGATCTGTGGTAAACTCGATGTTTATTCTATAATTTTTATGGACCAGCATGCTGTCCTGAGAGCTTTGGATATAGGGTGAAATATAAATCTATATCTCGCTATATAATAAAAGTCAGTGTTTGTATGTATGCAAATATGTGTGTGAGTATGCATGTCGCAGCTTCTTGGTTGGCTGCCACTTCCACAGGCCACTGTGACCTCCCCAAATGAAGGACCTGGATCAAACCTGGCACACCTAACTACCATGACCCACTTTGAGGTTTGGGGCAAGACGGACCACAGATGATAGGATTTGCAGTACTTTCAATCACTTTGGCTCCCACAGACCACTGCAACCACCACCATTGACAGATCAGGACCAAACTTGGCACACAGAGTCCCCATGACTCACTTTACATCCTGGTGCAGTTTGGAGGAGGAAGGACAATGGATTATGGGAGTTGCAGTACCTTCTCTCACTTCCAGAGACTACTGCAACCACAAAGAATGATGGGATTGCACAAATTTGGCACACAGAACCCTCATGACCCACTTTACATCCTGGTGTGTATAGGGGCAGGATGGACCATGGACGATGGGAATTGCTTATGGGAGTTCATCTGCACCCAGTGAACCCAGCCAACATTGCATCTAGATGAAACTTGAAGCACAGACAAACAATGCCCTTTTAAAATAACCCGGGCATATAATAATAAATAAATAGAACAGTGGGCTAACAGAGCCAGAAAATTTTACTTCTTCATGTACAATTTTGATAATTACCTAGCCTGCATGGATACTGGTCATAAAACTGGGGAATTTTAAGAGTTATAGAAAAAAGTAAATTCCTCTAAGTTTTGTGCCATAGACAATGATAGTAAGTATAGTTCCTTCCCTTCCTGTTTGGTCTGCAATATTAAGAAACTGCCTAACATGAAGGACATAATGATCCTGAGATTTCAAGAAGTAACTGAAATTAGCTATCACAAGATGAATTAATTAAGGAAATATAATACTAAGCTATTTGAATTTAACAGTATGAACATAATAATGCTGAGTAGAACAAAGAATCCTTATAATGCCTAAAAATGAATGCATTTACTATGATAGAAGTTCTAAGCGACCAAAGCCTCATTTACCAATAAATAAATAAATAAATAATAACATGATGCATTTGTTAAGATTTTTAGGTGCCAAAGGACTCTTTGCTTTTTTGGTCTGTATAGCATACGTAGCCCTGCAATTTGTCACCCAAAACACATGAATGGTACTAATTGTACTTATGCAACACTTGTAGTATTCATGTGAAGTTCCCCCTCCTTTATGTCTGTGCAAACAAAATAGCTACATGCAGTTATTTCTCTTAAGTATCTGGCAAGGCATATGACTGTTAGAAATTCTGTCTTGGTTAAAACAAAATTTAGCGCTCGTTAAAGCATTAAGAGGAATGCCGATGGAGTCAAAGCAAATCTTCTGATAAAGCTGTAAAACCTTCAACACACAAACGTGACTGAATTCTACCATTAGGCTTTCATGCAGTCTGTTTTCCTGCAACTAGCAATTAGCTACATAACCCTTCAGCGTGGTAACTGAGTTTGGAGTGGTGTTTAATAATGGTGGTAGCAAAACTCACATTCTTTCATGTATGGCATGAAGGCACAGTTCGACTCATTGCCATTTTTTTCCTATTGGATCCACAGAAAGCTGCCTGTGAGCATGTCAAGTTGCCCACAACAAGTTTTACAGATGTTCTGAAAATACATTTTGAGGTAGCTACTGTGGTAAACCAGAATTCTGAAAATCCACTGTATGTAATGTACGTTTTCAAAACTTCCTTCTTCAGGTTTTGCCTCTTGTTTGTCATATCCATCCCATTAAGGCACTTTGCACACCTCAAGAGCAAAACTACATAGTGGTGTGGTATTTTCCTACATGCAATTTGGTTTTAATGGGAGCTGTCAAAACATGTCCCTTGCTGAATGTGCTTTCTTGTAAGAAACCAGAACTGAAAGGGTTAGGGTGGGTTACTGCAGCAGTTATCAGCAGACAGCCATCTAACCTTGGGTACTTACAGGAATTTTATGGCTCTTGATCATATTATCAAATTCTTCATTAATTTTTTTGTATTTTTCTTCAGTGCGTGGGGTGAGGGCATAAGAGGAGTCGGGATCGGGGCTTTCACAGCCTTTGTTTTCTTTCTTGTTCAATGCCTGCCAGGTTCAGAGAAATATCAGAGCGTAAAAAAAATGAAAAGAAACTCAGGGTACTTACACATAATCTTTGTCTGCTGATCATTAGATCAATATCTTCATTAATTTTCCTGTACTTGTCCTCAGACTCAGGGCTGTGACCTACTGAATCGTCTGCATCAGGGTCTGGACTGTCACAGCCATTAAGTCCTTTCTTTCTCAACGTCTGAAATACATAATTTGGAAAGTTCAAGCCTTGACATAGGCTGCTAGAGAGATCCAGGGCCTTTAGCATCATTCAGGCTGCCTGGCGGTTGAAGGCTGTTACATATTACATAAGGGAGAGAAAGAGGAGAGAGATGCATTAGGTCAACGAACTGCAGCTCTCATTACCAGCGGCAAAGAGAGAGTCACTGTGACCTCTTCTGAATCTGGATTCAGTCAATAAACAGAGAGAGAGAGAGAGAGAGAGAAAAGAGAGAGAGAGAGCGAGAGCAAAAGAGAGCACAATCTAATAAAATGTCTCTGCTACCATCTAGGCCTTTCTCTGCAAGAGAAACACCAGCGAGTTAGAAATTTCACTGTTCACAGTTTTTTAACACAGAGAAAGGGTAATGCATTTGATCAGACAGGGAACTGCCAGCAACTCTTTTGAGAGTACAATGACAATCTGAGGGACAACACTGTTCCTTTCAAGGTAGAGTAGATTAAGCCTGTCAGGGTTCTTGGATTAATCAACAGACACCTTTCCCCTGCCTGCTACCTCTCATTAACAGAACTGAATGGAAGAATTTGAAGTTAGGATACACAGCAGTACCCATCTTGAAGTTTGTAGTCAACATGGTAATCTCCCTCCCATGCCAAAATCTGAATATAAGGAGGAGGCTTAATTTTCCCCTTATATCTATGTCTATATGAACATGGTGTCCAATTATTTGTCTAGAATGATGTTAAAAGCATGCCTCAGACCCAGATTCTTTCCTTTCACACAAAAACGGAAATGTAAAATCAACAGAGTAAACAATGTCTGTTTATAGGTCACATGTGAATTTTTCCAAGAACTAGAGCAGCTCAGCACAATCTGTGCTTCATTTTTCCACAACTATGCACACATATTATAGTACATATCAAGAATGAGAAACTTTTGTGGTTCCAGTAGTCTGTTTTGTATAGATCCTGATGTTAGCCACCCCACCCCAACCCCATGGTGGTACAATAACAAACAGAAGTGGAAAATGTATTGTCGAAGGCTTTCATGGCTGGAATCACTAGGTTCTTGTGGGTTTTTTCGGGCTATGGAGCCATGTTCTAGAGGCATTTCTCCTGACGTTTCACCTGCATCTATGGCAAGCATCCTCAGAGGTGAATGTTGTTGTTTGGGGAGATGATGGCGGGATATATCTGTGGAATGACTAGGATGAGACGAAAGGAGCTCTTCCCTGCTGCAGTTAGGTGTGAATGTTTAGCTGATCACCTTAGCATTTGAAGGCCTGCCTGAGTCTGGGAAAATCTGTTGCTGGGAGGTGTTAATCTGTGCCTGGTTTTTTCCTCTCTGTTGTTTAGCTGTTATAATTTAGTTTTTTAATACTGGTAGCCAGATTTTGTTCATTTTCATGGTCTCTTCCTTTCTGTTGAAATTGTCCACATGCTTGTGGATTTCAATGGCTTCTCTGTGTAGTCTGACATGGTGGTTGTTGATGTGGTCCAGCATTTCTGTGTTCTCAAATAATATGTTCTCAAATAATAGCCTGGACACAGCATATTATTTGAGAACACAGAAATGCTGGACCACACCAACAACCACCATGTCAGACTACACAGAGAAGCCATTGAAATCCACAAGCATGTGGACAATTTCAACAGATCCTACTCCATGGCAATGGAGGCAGCAGCAAAGTCCTACTTGACTGCCTGCATTGCACCTGCAACTAATAGACCAGCACAGCTGTTATGAGTAATCAGAAAGTTTCTTCACCCTGGTTTTCAGGGTGGGACCCTGACCACTCAGAGGTTCGGTGTGGTGATTTCACCCATCATTTTGCAGATAAAGTTGCTCAGATTCATACCTATTTGGATGCCAGCATTGATGCAGTACCAGTAGATATACCAAGATACTTGTCTGTCCTATTTTAATTGATTTGTTTCAGTTAGTTCAGCCTGTTCATGTGGACAAGATTTTTGGAGAAGTGAGGGTGACCACGTGTGCTCTAGACCCTTGCCCTTCCCGACTTATTAAACAAGTCAGAGGGGGTGGATGAATGGATCACAAGGATTGTGAATGCTACAACTCTATTATTCATTTCCACCTAAAGCCAAGGAAGCTGCTCTGGTCCTGAACCAGTGTCTGACAGCTGTGATGGGCTAAGAAATTGAAGCTTAATCCAGACAAAACAGAAGTCCTTCTTGTCAGTCAGGAGGCTGAGTACAGGGTAGCTAACTGGATGCAGGTCCACAGCTTAGGGGTCCTCCTGGATTCAGTACTGACCCTTGAAGCCCAGGTGTGGGTGGTTGCTGGGAGGGCCTTTGCACAATTAAAGCTTGTGCGCCAGCAATGCCCCTACCTCGAAAAGTTGCATCTGACCATGGTGGTCCATGGCTTGGTTACACCCTGGATGGAATATTGTAATGCACTCTATGCGGGACTGCCTCTGAAGATGGCTTGTAAACTACAATTAGTGCAAAGAGCAGCAGCCAGATTATTAACAGGAGCTGATTACAGGGAGCATACTAACCCCCTTGTTAAAATAGCTCCATTGGATGCCTATGTGTTTCCGGGCCCAATTCAAAGTGCAGGTTCTTACCTACAAAGGCCTACAAAGTTCGTGTCCAGTCTATTTGCACAACTGCATCTCCATCTATGAACCTATTCGGGCCCTGAGGTCTGCTGGGGAGGCCCTTCTCATGGTCTCACCTCCATAACAAGTGTGGCTGGTGGGGATGAGGGAAAGGGCTTTCCCTTTAGTAACCCCCGGGCTCTGGAACACCCTTCCCAAAAAGATTAGGCTGGCTGCCACATTAATGGCCTTTAGGAAGTAACTAAAAACGTGGCTTTGGAAGTAGGTTTTTGAAAATAACTGTAATCTGTGATTGAGATTTTAAAATGAGTCTAATATTAATTGGATCTGATTGTTTTTATCAACAAGAGTAGGTCTTGTAATGTTTTAAGTGTACTACATGTTTTAGTATTACATAGTATTATATTCATGAGTGATGGCTTCTTTCATGTTTTTGAGTTATACTTAACAAGTTCATTGTGATTTACTTTGTGCATCATGCTTGGTTTCTTTGATTTGCCACGATGATTTAATTTTCTGGATTTGTTGTACAATTACTATTATTTTATTGTTCTTCCTTATTGTAAGCTGTCGCAAGTCCCCTTAGGGAGAGGGGCGGGATATAAATAAATCATCATCATCATCACCATCATCATCATCCATCAAGTATATTCCTACATACTCCACAACAATTCTTCACCTGAAAGCCCAACATGCCATTCATTTCAGGTAAGAAAAATATAAATGTGACCTTTTAGTTCCCTATTCAGAGCAAATAATAATAAGAATCCAGTTTCAGATATGGAAAAGGTTAAAACCAAGCATACAGATCAGATAGTCAGGGTTGCCTATCCTATTCTCCAATTTCCTGTCATAGAAGATGAATGGGAGAGGAATAAGGAATACTGTGGAAGCAGTTCTAGTGGCCATAGCACATCTAGAAAGAAGGGGAATGTCACTGCTAAACCCCTCCTCATTGGATGCTTTAATAGCAGTAAAAAGTATGAAAGTAGGTTGTCTGAAGATGGGAATATGTGTACTGGGGAGGATCACCAGAACTGAAGAAGAGCCATAACGATTTTAAGAAAGAAGAGGATGTGGGTATGTATGCAATAAGGGCATTTTTTCCCTCTTCTGGACCAGCTGAAAAAAGTATAGGGTTAGGTCTTACCTTTAAAAATAGTGTTTACTTGGGCCATTTGTGATGGCAGAATATTAATGGTTTGGATTAGTCATCCACAACAAAACATTTCTTCAAACTTATACTAAATACTTTAAAAACATATATGCACTGATGTGAGGCTCACTGTAATCAAATCTATGTAAATCTCTATGTCAGTGGTTCTCAACCTGGGGTCCCCAGATGTTTTTGGCCTACAACTCCCAGAAATCCTAACAGCTGGTAAACTAGCTGGGATTTCTGGGAGTTGTAGGCCAAAAATATCTGGGGACCCCAGGTTAAGAACCATTGCTCTGTGTTACTAAGATGTAAACAGTACAGGAATGCAACTGTCAACTCAAAGCATCATCACTAGCAGGGAAGGGCATGTTGTCTAGGAGATGCTGGGAATTGTAATCCTAAAATTATTTGTTTTGAGCAATATCTGAAAAATTGCTTTATTTATCTAAGGGATGTCCCTGTTCGTTCTTCTGCAGTCTGGATAACTAATACAACAAATCTGAAAAGTGTAACTCTTATAAAAATCCTTCTGACTGGCTTAGGGTGCTGAAAGGGAATACATCCTTCAGCAGTGGTGAGAAGCCAGTTTCTGTCAGTCACTGCTCCTTGCTGTGGATCCAAAATGTTTTTCTCTGTCATTGAAGGCCAGCCAGGTCTTACGCTTCTTGCTCCCATTAGGAAGATTTATGTCTCGAGTAACTCAAGGAGGCAGAAATCTGTGCTGGATATTCCCAGTTCACCCATACTGTGAGTACAGAGGTTGCCACTGTATTTGGTAATGCAGAAAGTTCAATAAAGGTGTTAGATAGCATTTCTGAGTTTTAGCTCTTACTTACTTAAAGTGCAGTTTAAAGATTGGTGCCTTTTTGATGGAATATTATGCTTTCTTTTTTAAAAAAAACTGTAAACATTTAGGATTTCCTTTTTACAAGATGCACACTAGACAACCCAATGGAATCACATTTTATAACCAAATATTTGTATCAATGTTTAATTATTCAAGCAGGAGTAAAGCTAGCTCACATCATAAGTGGATCATTTGATATCTTCAACGCCAAAGATAGGGTCAAATTGCAACTAGGAAAGGAAGGGTTGTGTCAGTTTTTCCATTTGTCTTTATTCCAACTAGTTTTAAGTGAGGGTCACTTTGAGGAAAGAGTGGAATGCCCAGGGCTTCCTGTATCCTCAAAGCAGATTGCTAAGAGCAAATCAATGGGTCTATGTATTAGCTTCCAGTATAATACCATTTGCTAGGGGAAAAAATGGGAGGAT